CCACTGATTGCAGAAATTAAAATTGCAGCACAAAGGTGAAAGTTTACAAGCAAATTATGTGTTGCTGGAGCTATTTTTTCTACCCTGGTGTTGCAAGAGAAGAGAGAATATGCAGAACAATCTCAACTTTTGCTTTTTGTTCCTTTAAAAAACCAAAATATCTTGCCTTCCCTCTTTCCCTCCAATCCTTAAAAAAGGCTCTACCCAAAACCTGCTGATAAAGTCAGTGGCCAGTACTCCCAATGAGCTCAGGGGTGCTTCTGTGAGCTTGGTGGTTACAAACTGGGGCTTCATGGCTTGCTTGGTTTTTTGCTTCTTCGTAACAGGGATAAAAACTATGCTGGTTTCCATGCTCAAATTGTAGGTGCTTATTTTGTGTCTTTTGTTATATGAATTAGTCTGAGTTTGACAAAAAGATATTTGTTTTCAAAGGGTTTTTTTTTTCCGGGATTCCAACCTTATCCCTTTTTGTTACTGCTGTCAGGGTTTCATAGATGTGCAAGTCTTGGGAGGGGTGATATCTGTGATAGATACTCCCAATTGCCTAAAGGCTTACGCAAAGGGATGTTTCTAACTTCGGTACATTCCAAGTGTCTTAATTGAAACCCACAGGCTAATTCCTTCTTTTAGTTCTAAATTCCTTTGCTGAGAACCTAAATAACGAGGTGGTGAAGGCAAATTTAAGTCTTCAAATGTGAGATGACCCCTGGTAATGTGTGCTGGAGTGGTTGGGCAATTTCTGTACTTTATTTGTCAATCAAGTCTATGCTTCTCCAGGGCATTTTCATTTTAGTGCTGTTCTGCCAGCTGTTTTGGGTGTGATAACTTCTGTCTTTGAAAAGCTAAATAATGCAGTTCTGTCATGCAAGCATGTAATGTGTTTTGGGGAAATAAGAAAGCCCTCTTTCAGCATGAAACAGAGGTTGAATAGAGGACAAACTGCAATCCAGTGAGGCTTTTGTATTTACCTCTATTTTTAGATAATTTAGATTCCTTTTTGCTCTCCAACATGATATTCACAAGGTAATGGATTGGACTTGAACTGTGTTTCAAAGTGCCCCAAATGAAATTAAAGGACAATGTTGTGGGTGGAGGAGGTATGTAAGGCTGCAGAAGCGGCTGCTGGGGGTGACCGAGTGCCAGGGCACAGCCTGGGCATCTGATCACTGGAGCCGGTTGTTCCAAGAGCACTGCAGTTGGGGCACATACATCATCTTGTGCAACAGAAAGAGGCATCCGGGATAGGAAGCTTTTCTTCTCTCTTTTGTCATCATAAGAGTTTAATTTTGTGTGTGTGTGTGTGTGTGTTCAGGTTTGGTTTTATTTCCTCTTAAAGGAACAAACTGTTCTGACATTGTCCATTACTAGTCCATTAAGTGACTGGAGGGCAGGCAGCGAGAGGAAACAGTTAGTAGGTAATGAAGCAGAATCTGGCCCTGAGTCAGTCCTTGGCTTTTATTGTCAGGCTGCAGCAGTGTGAAAGGAAACAAATGTTTTAGCAACTTGGTGGATTTGTTTCTCACTGGGCTGTAACCTGCTGACATTTTTAATGTCTTGTGTGAGAAGTTGACTGGCTGGATTACTGTGTGCTTTGCTGAATGGTGATATTGTTTTTTACTGAATGTGGCTAATTTATCTGAATCATAATGTCAGCCTCCAGGGGTTAGCCGTACAAATTTGTGGGAATCTATAGAAAATTACTTTGAGGGATAAAATAACTTGTCAATGTTGCTATCCAAGCACCAGCATTTCAGTTTCCTTTTTTTTTTTTTTTTTTTTTTTTTTTTCAGGGGTTTATAGGAGAAAGTTTGACAAAACTGTAGCTGTAATAGTTACAAAAATCCCAGTTTCAGAGGCTTTTATAAAGCAAACATTAGAGTCTGACTGGCAATGGTTGTCTATGGATTTTATAACTGACCAGGATGTTTTAGGAAGATGGGACTTATGGGGGTTTTTATTCCTTAAGAAATAGAAAGGATGCATGCTCCTTAGGGGATAGTTGGGGTACATACATTCATACTCTTTTGTTCACTAAATCTTTCATCAAGACTAAGTAGTTCATGATTATCAGAGATGTGGGGTTTGGTGGGTGTTTTTCCTTCCCCTTCCTAGAAAAGCATCTTTTTGAAAAGACATAGAAGGGACTGGGTTTTTAGTAAGTGCTGTGTGTGGTAATGCAGCACGCCTAGCAGGAGCACCACCACAGACTGGACTGTGGTGTTGGGGAGCAAGGCGTGCTGAGGGAGTCTTGGCAGGCTGAAGCTGGGGAATGCTGGGGAGAGCTGTCACCTCGTGCCATGCGTGTGCTCGGGAAGGGCCTGAACCCTCCGAGAGGTGGGGTGTGTAGAGCTCCTACTGCACAGGATTTATAATGCAGGACACTTTCCATAACTGTTGCTCTCTTTTTACACAGTCATACAACTGTTTTTGGCCTCTCTGTTCTTTGCCTTTATCATGCTAAAGGAGTAATAATGTTAAAAGAATGTGGTACCTCGAACTGTGGTGTTACTCCTCAGTCTCACTTATGCTTAAGGAAGGAACAAGGCAGATGGAGCCTTAGGAAAGCATCATGGTACATAAGGGTGTAGTTTGTAGTTGAGGTTGTTGGCACAAAAGGGGCAGACTGGTTAATGAATGATATTTAATAAGATAAATATGTTTAAATCTTACTATGTTCAGTATAAATGTTTGCAGTTAAAGCTAATGGAAAACATTGCTCCAACAGTGGCAGTTGGACCAATCTAGTTCATTCATGTGTCTTAAAAGGAAAAAAAAGAAAACGGATTTGTAGGGGAAAAATAGATTAAATATATTTTAAAACTTTTTTGAGTTTTATCTTATCTGCTAGATTCCTGTGAGACAGATACTTAGCATCTGTGAGGAAGTTACTTGGTTCTATCTGTCTTTGATGGCAAGGAGCTGTATGCCACTGAGAGGAAAAGACAGGGTTAACAAGGTATCTTATGTAATTATACTTCCCTGAAACAACACCTTGAGTTTCAACATTCTGAGCATGGCATGCTATAGCTATCTTGAAGCTTGCTCAGAAAAGTCTTTTCAGTCATTGATGTCTGGTTGAGCTTGAGTTGTGACTCAAGAGTAGGGTCTGTTGGATCAGCTTTAGCTGTCAAAGAGAAGAGGAATGGAAGGGTGAAACAATGGCTCCTGGCTGATGTGCACCTTTGTGTCCTAAGCAGGTTTTTCAGCTGTAGCCTAAAAGAAGTCCAGAACTAAGGTTTTAATTTAGATTGATATCAACAATTTCATACAGTTTAAGTTTTTCAACTGTCATGACATTTCATTTCTTACTGATGTGACTTCTTGTATCTGGACTGAGCTGTAGCCTCTCTTCCTTGCCATTATGTAAAACATACCTAGTTGTTGGTTTCTGTGTGTAACAGCTTTTTGGCTAGATATATTAGATGTGAATATATGGATAGTGTGAGCTTCAGATACATGTTGGGCCAGAAATGAGAAATGTTGAGGTAATATAGATAAGAAATGTTCTGGTTGTATTCTGTGATTTAGGAATTTTTTTTTATATTTGGATTTTAATTAAACTTCGTACAACAGTCTCAATTGCTTGTTGAAAGTGGTGCTTTTTAATCATAATCTGATATTGCTTCTGAATCATACATTTTCATGATTGCATGAAAAAGTGAAGTAGAAAATTTGAGCTGCAAGCAGGCTTTTTCTATGGCTTCATTCCAAGTGCAGGGACAGTTAGTCTGAAAACCATTGTGGTTTGCTACTTTGTGGAACGGATTCTGGAAAAATTGATGCCAGCTGCCACCAAGAGGTTCTGCAAGAGAGTGTTCCAGACAGCAGCATTGTGGTCGCCTGAAGGGTATCTCAAGACTGGGCTGCCAAGAAGCTGGTGGCGTCTTGGAGACTCCTCATTTGGGCTGAAGCTGTCTAACAGTTTACCTGGTGTAAGGCACTGACTGCCTGGCTGTGGTTTGTGCAGGGATTTGGAGGTTAAAGCCTTTGACAGGCTGCATGTATGTATTTTCTTGTCTGCAGCAAGCAGATCTGGAAATCCATACTGGGTGAACCTCCCTTGCCTAGTCTGGCTGTCAGCAGTTATTTCACTGTCATTTAAGTACAAGTGATGAAGCACAGGCTCGCCTTTAGCAGTGCTCAGTGCAATTTACCCCAAGATGTGTCCTGTGATACAGGCAGGAGTGTCTGTCCTGTGTTGGAGGTGACTCACCTTGGTTTAGTGGGACAGGCTCTGTAAAATTGCAGGTGACTCCTAAATGGCTTCCTTAGGTATCCTGGGAAGCTGCCTTCTCTCTGCCCAGCTTCAGGCCACTGCTCCTCCCTCTGCTCTGACCTAGGGGCACTTGCCTGCCCTTCTTCCTTGCCCTGCTGGGTCCTTCTGGCTGTGTCCCAGACCCTAGGTGGTGGTACTTTGGTGTCACACCAGCAGGGCATCTGAAGGGAAGGGGCTGCTGAGCCCTTCCTGCATCTTAGCTGAACTTGTCTGTGACTCATAACTAACCCGCTTCTGAACCCAGATACAAAAGCAGGCTGAGGGTGGGTGAGGCTGCCAGTGCTTCAAGGGTTGTCCCAGCAACTTGGTTACCACAGAGGCTATTATCTCCATCAGAAGCTTGAGTAAGGGCCTCAGCACCTTTTGGAGTAATGCATTCAGGCAAAAAGGTGTTGACAAAGTGTGTTAATTAAAAGCCCATGGTTTCATAGGTTGTTTTTCACCAGATGGGAACCTTGTGAATTTTATGCATCAGAAACCCGCTTGGGAGGTGCAGTGAGGCTGATTCTAATGCAAAGGAGCTGCTGTGGTTACTAGCAAAGGCAAAACATTTGTGTGACTCTGCAAGTACCAAAGTGTTGTAGATGGTTGTACAGCTTTATTGAGAGATAAGACAAAAAATTCTCCCACTTCTCAGGACAGTGTTTAATGTGACCTGTATTGGACAATCTAGGATTAAGAAGAATGCATTTTCACTCATTGTTTTCTTATTCTTTCTCTCCAGATGAACATAATGATGTACAGAAAAAAACCTTTACGAAATGGATAAATGCTCGGTTTTCCAAGGTAATGTTGCTTTGGATGTACTACTTTATTTTGTTTGGTTCACTGTTTAGAATAATTTTGGTTAAATAGACTTTGTTCTTACTCTTGTTGAATATTCCTAGTGAAATGTCAGTGTGTAGTGAAAACATAGTGTAGTGTTTGTTCCCTCAGTTTCTTCATGCACATAAACATATCATACTATATTTTAGGAAAAAATGAAAAATTCTGTTTGTTAATATATCAGAATAGTTATTTGCATGAGCACACCTGCTTGGTTTTGTTTAGTTTTGGTTTTGTTTAGTTTTGGTTTAGTTTATCTCTATGTGCAATTTTCAGAGTGCATTGCAGCAGATTTTGAACCTTCATCACTGTGTTTACTCCGTTGCTGAGTCAGCTTTACTCACTCTGCAAACCTCTAGCTGAAGCCACCTGGTGTTGCTACTCAAGCCTTGACTGAAATTTTATATAATTACTTGTTCATTTTGAATTTTCCTCAGCTCTCATGCTGTGCAGTTCTCATTTTAATTCTCTTTACTGGCTTAAAACTTACTGAGGATCTTTCATCATTTGGGATGATAAAGGAAGTGACGTTTGCTTTGGAATGCTATTTAATGCTATTTAAAGCCTGTTTTTTACACTGTTCTGCTGATAGGGAAAAATTACATTTTGCCCAGGAACATAAGTGTCTGTGGAAAGATTTCCTACTTCATAGTTTGAATGTGTGAAAGAACCTGGAATATTATCAGGGAGAACTCATGTTTTTTTCTACCTAGTGTGGTGCTGCAAATGGGATAACTGGTATTTAACTCATTGAAAAGTGGCATGCATGTGAAATCCTTAAAGCAGATATAAATATAAAGGAAGGGTGTCTGTGTGGTTTGGTGGTGGTGTTGTTTTGTTTGTTTGGTTGTTTTCTGTTTTTTTCTTTTTTTTTTTTAATAAAGTTGTGGCAGTTTTTTAGCAATGAGTGGCTGCTTCTGGACTGCTGCCCTTCTGAAGTTTTTTGATCCTAATGTAAGGAATTTTTACCTTCCTTTCCTTCCTGTGAAACAGGACACTGGGCAATGCAAGGCTTGTGGTCTTGGTTGAATCATTTTGGCTTGGGTTTGCTTTGTTTGAAAGCTGATATCCTGCACTCTTCATCCAATGCATTCTTGGCTAGTTTGCTTTTTGAAGGAAGAGTGTGTGGGTAGCGAGTTGCTCTATGCTTGCCTTTCGACTGCTGCTCAGAGGAGTGCTGGTTCTGCAGGAGGAGCATTAGGCAGGGCAGGATCATGTAAGGAAAGAAAATGTGGTGAGAAAGAAAGGACTGACTGTAGTCATGTAGCTGGCCTAGAGACGGCATGAACATGGAAATGACAGTGATACTGAGAATGAATGACAATCATACTGAGAATGTGCCAGGTGACTCATCTGTGACTGCCGTAGGCATTGTATTGAATATGGTAAAATTGTTTTCAGTCATTCTGCTTGTAGTTACAGGGATGTAACTCATACAGCGTCCTTCCTTCTGTACTCCGTAATCAGACAGAGCTTACTAAGCAACTGGATTTCCCTAGGACAGGATATGGTCAGATACTCACAGGATTTGAAGTTACTGTAGCTTTGTAACTCTGTAACTTCATGACCCATTAAAAACTTGAAGCTATGAAAGCCTTGCTACTGATTAAAGAGACACCTGTAAAAGGACATACTCCCAACTGCTGCATGTCCAATTCAAACTTGAGCATGGCTATTTTGGCATGACAAGACACGGATTTATTAAGACTGGCATGTTCAAATTGCAAGGAAAATGGTGGTGTTAAGTAGAAGTCATCTCATGTAAGAAAATCTAGTTTCAACTGTACCTTAAAAATAGAAAGGGACTGATTTCAGTCCTGTTGTATCAAAGTTTTTTTATGTACCAAGTCATTTGGATTGTTTAAAATTCCTTTTCTGTCAACTAGATTGATTTAGCTGCTTAGTAGGGTAGAGAGATTGCAGAGGTTAGTTAAATGTAATCAGACTTACATTGCAGAAAGCAAAATGGTAGCTTAGGTATTTTGTGTGGAATTGCAAATTTCATTCCGAGAATTTTACTTGTCCTTCCATGTTAATTATATTGTACTTGCCCTTCATTTAAGCAAATAGAAAGTAATCTCTTGAGCCTTTATAAACTAGCTTAGCATACAAAAATTGTAAAAATTTCATAATGCTGAGTTTGATTTAAGTCAATTCAATAAGGTTTTACAAAGAATCTAAAAAAAGAGCATTGTCTTTCCCTTCTCTCATCAGAGAATAGGTAGGTGAGTAAAACACTTGAAGTATCTCAAGTGTGCTGTAAGGTGCCTGCTTTGGTACCCTGATGGGTGAGATAAGAGTTCGTGGTGTAGATCTCAGTACAGTAACTTGGTTTTGTGCTCTTGGTTTAAACTCTGCTAGAACAATGCCATTTATTTGTGTGCATTGTTTGAAATCAAGGCACAAACATTTAAAGTGCATCATTTTAAGGTCAAGAAATATACTTAGCCAAGACTCAGTGCTCTGTTAGACATACCTTAGGAGAGCTGTATGCACTATAACTCACAAGCCTATGATGGCTGTGTAGTAAGGATATTTTGTTAAAATTAAAGGGAATAAAAATTGTTGGAGAAATAGTCTGTTACCAAGCTTTAACCAATAGGAAAGTTTTTGAGGCAGAGCATTTCAACATGTGTTTATAAAGTCATGTGACGTTTTTACTAAGTGTGTTTTTTCCATTACTCTGTCCAGTTTAATTTCAAGAGTTGGATTTAGCTGTTTTCCTGTGATATAGCCTTACCAATTAAAGCATCTAGTTGTATGGATAGCTGATATGTTCTTTACACAATGTAGGATTGTTTTCTATCCTTTTATCCCTTTTTAGATTCAGAACACCTTTCTGCAATGCAGAAGTGCTATCTTGTCACAATGGTTTTTAGCCACTGCAAATAAAGGTAAACAGCAGAATTGGCTACTAATTTTTAGTGACCAATCTGAGATTTTAGCTAAGTTGTCCCAGAGGATTTAACATTTCTCTGATGTCTCTTGATATAAAACAGAGCTCTTGATCCTGATGACATAATTCAGAGGGTTGATCTCTTCTGCAAACTCAATCAAACCATCCAAAATATCTAGCTGGTTTTCAGATGGAGCTTGATCAGCATAGAAAAGGGACTTGAAGATGATTATGCCTGTGTTAGCAAGGACTGGCGTTAATGATCTAAGGAAGTCTCTTAATCCAGCACACAGTTAGTAATTGCATGTAAAATTATGTCTTGAATGATTCTCATGAGTTACAGGGGAACTTCTGGCTAACAGTGGAATTTGAATTCAAGTCTGGAGGATAATGTAGTGCCCCAGTACCCCTATGTTATTTGTTTCACACAGGTAAAGAAGAAATGAGTAAAGATTTTGTAATAAACCCTAGTTTGTCCAAATATCTGAATAGCTTCAATCTTTGTCTACTTAGATGCTTTATCAGCAGGCCTTGGATTTTTAACTGCATCTTGCAGATCTCTGATGCTTCAGCTTTTAATTACAGAGCAAAGTAGTTGGATACTCACACTTGCAGCTACAGAAGGTTTCTAGAAACTCGATAGGTATGTTAAAGAGTTCAGGAGTCTTGTGTCCCACTTTAGGATCCTGCAAGTACAATTCTTTCTGCCCTGTTTTCTTTCTTTACTCCTACTCTCTCACCCTGTTTTCGGTTGGTATGTTTATTTGTTTTTTCCCCCTCACTTACTATTACACCCTCTCATGTCAGAAGCCTTGTCTGCCTGGCAAATCCTTGTAAATATGGAGTTTGGCTGCCCTGCCTATTTCATACCCACTTTTGCCTTTTTCACTATACTTTTTTTGCCATCAAAACCCAGTTTTTCTTTTTAAAACTCCAGATCTGCTCCATCTGCCCTTCATTTCTCCTCTCCTGCCTTTACAGGATTTGATGCTTGTGTGGTCAGTCCTATTTTTGCATCTCCCTTTGTCTCAGCAGTACTAAGCTTGCCCTCCCTTCACCTTCTTGCAGAAATCAGTCTTTGCTGGTTTTAGTTTTTCTCATTTTCCAAGGTGGTACTTTTCCAAGTTTGCTTTCAGATTGGTTCCTCTCTTCCTCTGCTCTTCCTGAGCTTGGCAGGTGGAGCACAAAGTCAGCACAAGAAACATGATTCCCTAACTTAATTTAGACCCATGGAGTCAGGTCTGTCACAGCCTGTTGGAACTTAGTTCTGTCACTCACTAGTGTAAGTTTACAGATCCAGCACTGGCAAACTGAAGCAGTGTCTTTTTACCAAAAACTTGTTTTTTCACATTTGGGAAATTTTCCACAGGGATGGCAAAACAAACGTTATTGCTAGGAAGGTTTTGCTGTGCAGAAAGATCATAAAAGCCCAGAGATTTGTGGTATTCAGTGAAGATGACACTAGATTTCCCTGCCCCTCAGTTATAAGTCTTGGATATGGCAGGCTGTTGAATGGAGTCAGCTAGGGCATTGTTCCAAGGTGTCAGGAACTGCATTCAAAGCCCTTGCATGCCTGAGCACTGGGCCTCCCTTTCCTTTCCATCATGTGTTATCCTTGCTTTCCAATACAAGCACTTTTTTTTTTTTAGAAGCCTTAGACAGTTTTACTTGTGCATTTGCAGTGTTCTTGCTGCAAGTATTTGTGATTCTGCTCCTCCAGGTCCTGTGCTAGTGCCCTGACATCTGCATTGGCCAGTATTAACAGGGTTTGGAGCCAGTCCAGGATCTGCCAGTATGAATAAAGCCAGACATCCCACACTTTTACAGCATCTTAAACTCTTTTTCCTACTCTGTGGTCTTCCAAAAATATGTTTGACTTTAGGGTTAGAGTAAAGAAGAGGAGGAGGTGCAGCTTGAGAGCAGAATGCATCCTTCAGGGCTGAGCTCCAAGTTGGCCTTTGAGAAAGCAAGTGCTCAGTGTGGGGCTCCTGCACATTTCCTCTCCTGGGCTCTGATATGTCCCCTCCCCTGGAAGGACACCGAAGGAAGAGGAGAATAGGCAGGC